ACGTAGCCACACAAAGAACGTCGTATTTTGGTATGATGCTTTCCTCCAATCACACCGCTTTTATGTACAAGTCTGCCACATAGAGTTTCCACCTGATTCATCTCTCCACGTTCTCATTAGAGATGCTACCGTCCATTCCGTGTTCAGAATCTCCCTGATAGAAACCTCAAATATTTTTGATCTCGGAACAAGAAGTCATGTGCGAGATCAATGTGCCAAACTACTGTGCTATCGCGCGCATGCAGCTCACTATCTGCGACCGACTTTTAGGGCATAAAGAAATGCACGAGCTTGACAATGCAGGTCCCTCACAGAGCCCCCACCAGAGCATGCCAAGTTGATTCGCCAGCTGAGCAAGCGCTTCACAATCTCGGTCTCAACCGCAGAAATTGTCCAGTCCTCGATAAGTCATTATTGAGGAAGAAGTTCCTGCAAGGAGAACAACTTGAAGATCTTCAAGATCTCAGCTGATTGCTTGTTGGCAACCGTCATCCCCCACAACAGATCCTGGGTTGTGAACCTACAACCATGTTGACAACGATTCTGGCCTTGGCCACTGCTTGGACAATCTGGTCATTGTTATCGCTCTATCGCAACTACCGCTCAGTCAAAATGACAGGACTTCCCATCATTCTTGAGCCTGTCAGCTCCTTCAATCTGGCATGGCTCATCACTGACCAGCTCATGAAGCAATTTCCAGGATTTCGACCAGTTCGGGATATACTGGTGCGGCAGTTGATGCCCTTCAGCTACTTTGGTTGGCAATACGACCAAGGACACGCGATACATGCCAAGTATGGCCCAGCGTTCGTTCTTGTCGCGCCAGGCTCTATCCAAGTGGTCGTTGGTGATCCTGCAGCTGCTTACGATGTTCTGGTCAGGAGGAAGGATTTTATCAAACCTAAGGCGCTTTATGCCCCACTCGCCGTTTTTGGTCCAAATGTAAACACTGTCGATGGGGAGGCTTGGCAACGGCATCGTCGTTTGACTGCTCCAAGCTTCAATGAAAGACTCAGTTCTTCGGTATGGAATGAATCGCGACGTCAAGCTCAGCAGATGCTGAAGACCTGGTTGGCAACAGGCGCAAATGGTGTTTCTACGACTCGTGAAGAAACAGCAACTTTAGCGTTGAACGTTCTAACCACTACCGGCTTGGGTATGGATGGCAGCTCTGAAACTGACGCGGAAGGCAAGCATCGCATGTCATACAATGCGGCCATCACCACCATTCTTCGAAGGTTTCCGTTCTTGCTTCTCATGCCGATGAAGTGGCTCAAAGCTTCGCTCATGCCTTCTATGCTGCGGCACCTTGGTGAGTCTTGCGAACAATTCATAGGATACATAACAGAAATGCTTGACAACGAGAGAGTTCGTGCCGAAAAGGAGGTTCGTGGGAGCAGCAACTTACTTGGCAATTTGGTACGAGCTGCCGATGCTGAGAAGAAGGACAAAGCCAGTATTGGCTTAACAAACAGTGAGATTCATGGCAACATGTTCATCTTCACCTTTGCAGGGCACGAGACAACTGCAAATGCTATTACAACCGCAATCACATATTTGGCGAGATATCCAGAGCGCCAGGAATGGATCCGGGAAGAGTTTCGTTATGCCATTTCGAACGACAGTGGACCACACTGGGACTATGAAAAATGCTTTCCACGATTGAAGAGATGTCTTGCCATTATGCACGAAACTCTGCGAGTCCACGGCCCAATTGTCGCCATACCCAAGACGGTTAACGAGCATCCACAAGCACTGGAGATTCACGGCAAACAGCATGTCCTACCTGCTAACACATTCGTATTTGTCAATAATCATGCAGCTCAAACAGATCCAGCCATTTGGGGTCCAGACAGCGAAGAGTGGAATCCCGATCGATGGATCAAGAAGGGTCCTAATGCCAGCCGTGAAGGCATGTCATCTGCTTTTGATGATGAAGAGCTGCTCCAACCAGAACACGGAGCCTTCCTACCTTGGGCTGACGGTCCCCGAATCTGCATTGGCAAGAAGTTTTCACAAGTCGAGTTCGTTGCAACGATAGCCACCCTGTTTTCCGAGTATAGAGTTGAGCCCGTTCGGAACAAAAGCTCTGATAATGGTAGTAATATCAACAAGGAGCTCGATGAGATGCTCAAGGACTCTGAGATCGCAACAGCCACACTTCAGATGCGACAGCCCAAGAGAGTCAGGTTGGCATGGAAACCCGTTGACAGTATAGGTGCATGAAAGAAGGCTTGATCGCAATACCTGACTACAGGAATGTGACATACGTATATACGATAACCGAGAACTTCGAATGCTTGTGCTTTCATTTCTTGGACAGGTCAAATCTCGGCACCACTTGCCGGTCTAGTGCCTACAAGAGTGTTCTCTTTTCGACGATGTACCTTAGCAGCCCCTTACCGGAGATCAGACTAACCTCAAAGGACGCCGTGAGAATTTTGCTGGCAAGCCATCCTAGTTGTGAACATCATCTACATAGCCTATACATGTTTGATCCTAGCAGGTGAGTCAGGTCACCGCTTGAAACACGCTTTCTCCCATGACACGCACGAGTATGGACTGCTACATGGAAATATTCGGAGTGCTGGGTCTGACAAGGTCTTTGTGCACTGAGGGCGATGAACTTGTGAGCGCATAAAGTCATTCGCTTCTGGTATATCAAAGCAGAGAGATTAGGTTACCTCCTAAAGCAGTAACTCTGTCATAGAAGTACAACTCTCTTGCTGCAGCTCGCTCGTCCCAGTCCTGAGAACGAACGCGTTCGAAAAGCATATCTAGCTTTCTCACTATCAACTTATCAGGAATATCCGTCACTGTGCAGTCCTTGAGCTAGCACAGGAGTGACCCCTGACCCTGAATTCATTATTTGCAGCTTCACTTAGTTTTTACTTATGATCATTTGTTACGTTGATCTGACAAGTACCAGGTTCAGTAGCTCAATTACTCCCGTCACCTTCAATCAGTTATCTGAGACTTCAGTAATGTTAGAAATGTTAAGACTTTACTTACTTAGCCTTGACACCATTACAGATCCTAGTTTCATTTCTAGCACGAAGAAAATTGTTCAACTTGAGCTGCCACCAGGGAGCACGCCGTCGTACCAAAACTTCAACCTCTCGAGTACAGCATCATTTGCCACCTCACCAGCCTGCTCGTTCCTTTCTGCGCTCCTCCTCTTCTTGAATCCCTCATAAAACTCCTCTAGGCCTATGTAAGTCTCCTTTACCTCCCTCCCATACACATCTTTTTTCACATCACCACTCCCTTTCGTCACATCGACCCCATAGCAATCATCCACAAACTCTAGGAACTGATACAACACGATATCAGCTACACTCACCGGCTCCTCATCATCAGCAATGCTCGCAACACGCATCGCATGGTCTGGCGAAGCAAGTATGTCGTTGATTGTATGAAGAGTGCGGTGAACCCAACGAAGCATCTCCTTCGCCCCCGCTGGGTACACCATTGTTCCCGCTTTCGTACCAAATGTACGGACAGAATTCCATGACACTGTTAGCTCCTCGGCCAGCGTCAATAGCTCCATCAAACGAGCTCGCTCGATTACATTCTTGCCAGTCACCAGCTCTCTTGCGCCAACGTGCTTGAGTTCACCACTGGGTGCGCACTGCTCCTCAAGAAAGTTGATGATAGCCATGCTTTGTCGAATGTATAGGGTTTCCGTACGGCCGGCGGATGGTGGGATAGCGAGGATTGGGAGGCTGCCGGCAGGACGGGGTGGGTACTTGGAAGCTTGGGATGGGACGACACAATTGCCGGCTTGAGGATCCGAGACATGGACGATCTGAATTGCTGTTGAGGAGATGCGCTTTTCGGACAGGTATAGTGAAACACGACGTGGATAGGGCATCCAGGGGTAAGCGTAGAGGAGCCAGGGGAAGTTCGATTCCGGGGTAAAGATATCGGCTGACATGTTTAGGGTTGACGATGAGGCAAGTGATAAAGATTCAGATAGTCGGTGGTCTGATGTGAATTGCGTATTTCTTGGTAGATGGTACTGCTAGGTAGTCGTTTTGATTTGCAGCTCAGAAGGGATAATGGCTAAGATATTGTGGACCAAGGGAATAGCAAAGAAAACACAAACGAACCAAGATGTATATACTTTATGTTATCGACCGGGCAGGCTAAGGGGAGGGAGACTTACAACTGCCAAGACCTCCTGCGGGTGCTTTACGGAATGTATCCTGCAGTAGGGCAATGCCAGTCACAAATACGTGCAGGCTTTACGCCGACATCTCTGTTCTGCAGTGGCCTCCCGAAGGCCTCTCATGGATGATTATGATTTCGGAGAAAATATGAAAAGAACAACAGCATATTCAAGGCTGAATGTGGTTGGCTCGGACAGTTTGGACACTAAAAAACATACGGTCCGATTATGTCTCCGAGTGTTCAGGCAGTTGTGGCCATTGGGTTTCCAATCAGCTTGAATTCAAGGAGTATCTATTCGCAGCTTTGGCGTGCCCCCGGAAGAGAGTTCTGAATCCTTCTTGCATCGTGCATGATGTTGGTATCAAAGACTGGCCTAGCGAGCGTTGGGTTACAGAACAGGCTGCATGTAACCGTAATTTCGAGGTAGCGGCCGTTGGAAAAACAATGTGACGAATATTCAATCTGGCGTGAGCTCCCAGGTTTGGTAAAAGGGGCAAATTGTTATTGTGATGTACGACCACGGCTGTAGTACACCATGGTACCTAGATTGAAGCAAAACCGGTGGTGCATGGCCACGCGGTTGATGATGCTCCAATATGTACCGTTGAATCTGCGCCGAATGATATTGTACCTATAGGTGCCTCAGTATTACGAGATAGCATTCCTCCTGGATCACGATATTAAAGGGGTTCAAGGCAGGTTGTCCTGGATGACGCGACTAGTGGGTAACAAATTGACAGTGAAAATGACGTCAGACAAAAACCAATACAAGATGTTGTTAATTCCGCTCAGAACAACTTGTCAAAAGACCAAAAATTGCAAAAGGATGAGAGGAGTGGGATTCGAACCCACGCGGGTTTCCCCATGAGAATTCTCATCTAGTTTAGAGCTAGATGAAGTCAAGAACAAGACTTGAGCCACACGCCATAACCACTCGGCCATCCTCCCATTCGAATGTGTGCGAATTTCTAAGGTTGATTTTTCATTTATGATAGATGTAGTTTTACGCTCTTAGCTCAAAGAGGAAGCATGGAAGAAGCATGGAAAAAGCATTGGGACGAAAGTCCGAAAGGTCTTGTAAACCTTTTGTGGAATAGCCTTCCCCTTTCAATATCAGCTGATAAGCGGCATAGGGAGGCTAGCATGGTGAAGTCCGGAAAGATTCTCTTACCATCGTAACGGTGGAAACATGATGTTAACAGCTCACCTCGAGGAGCATACCGGTTCGTTTTTAAGCTCCCTGCAACAGCATCATACCCGGGTAATGTAGTGAATTTTGACCTGCCATAACTAGACAATATTTAGGGGGCCGATGTTTTGCTTCATTTGTCCAAATCGCGGCATCTCGGGCATACGGTGTTATTACCGAGCCGGCAGTTGTTGCGGATCTCCATCACAAAGACTAACAACAAACAAATCTTCACTTCCGGTATGATAGTAACGAAGATGCCTTGTCGTTGGCCGTTGTCGCATTCCCAACCTGGCTCTGCCTCATAAATTTGTCATGACCGCTGAACAAGATGTCGAAACCGGTCATGAGCAGCTCCATGTCGCTTCTCCAAGTGCTGACGTCTATGGCAAGGAGAGTGGCCCATCCGAGGTCGTGCAGGACAATGCCAAATTGAATAACAATAAAACCAACCGACATCCTCCAGGCGGGTTGAGAACACGGCTTGGCAAGATCTTCTGGACGCCGCCATGGTGTCGTTACCGTCCTGACCATCCGCCTCAGTTTTCGATCTTTCAGAATGTCCTGTTCGCATTTGCTGGAGCGTTTACGGTCGCCAACCTGTACTACAACCATCCTATTCTAAACATCCTGGCCAAAGAGTTTGGGGTATCGAATGCAGAGGTTGCACGTATTCCAACGTTGATGCAGTCTGGATATGCAGTTGGGCTGTTACTGATTTGTCCATTGGGCGACCTATTTCCGAGACGGCCATATACACTTACATTGGTATTTTTCACAGCTACATTATGGTATGTATCGAACTGAGGAAGTCGACTGTTTGCTTACCATGGAACACGCAGGATCGTCCTCTGTCTCACGTCATCCTTCGAAGTCTTCTGCGGTATCTCGTTCATCACTGCCGTCACTACAGTCACACCTCAAATCATGCTTCCTCTGGTCGGTGAACTTGCGCCACCGAATCGCCGGCCTCTTGCTCTCAGCATTGTTGTATCTGGCAATCTCCTAGGCATCGTGATAGCTCGTATCCTCTCTGGTGTGGTCACTAACTACACCAACTGGCGCAATATTTACTGGATTGCGCTCGGCCTACAATATGGCATCTTCCTAGCATTGTACGCCTTCATGCCTGCTTACCCATCAACAAACCCATTACCGCGCACGAATCGCTTCCGAGCGTTCCTCAAGGCATACCCTCGCTTACTCTTTTCAATCCTCCAACTAGCCTTCAAATACCCGGTCCTGGTTCAAGCTGGTCTAATTAGCTTCTGCACATCTGTCTCTTTCACTAACTACTGGACTACCCTAACCTTCCTGCTCTCATCGCAAGCCTACCCTTACCGCCTTTCACCTACGCCTATTGGTCTTTTCGGCCTCATTGGTGTTGCCGGTATCTTCCTTGGGCCGCTGTATGCCAAGTACCTTATCCAACCACTCAAGATTCCCCTCTACTCCGTTCTTGTCGGTGAAGCAATCAATTTAGTCGGATGCGTCGTCGGCACATACACCGGCACGTTCACCCTTGCGGGCCCTGTTATTCAAGCTTTGGGTCTGGACGCAGGCTTGCAGATCACGCAGATCGCAAACAGATCCGCAATATATGGTGTTGAACCAACAGGGCGGAATCGAGTGAATACTGTCTTCATGATCTGTACATTCCTGGGGCAGATCACCGGCACGGCAGCAGGTAACGAGATTTTCGACAGGTATGGTGGATGGAGGAGTAGCGGAAGCATGGGTGTTGCCTTTGTCGCCTTTTCATTTCTTATCTGCATTGCTAGGGGTCCGCACGAAGAAGGATGGATTGGCTGGGGTGGTGGATGGGGAAAGGTTGACAACAGATTGCAAGAGGATACATTGACTGAGCAAAATAACGATGAGAAGAAGGAGAATGAAGGCGATCAAGCCTCCGAAGACACGATTGCAAGTGAGAAGGATCATGTAACAAGTGGAGAAGCGAACGATCTTGAAGGCGGCCTGAACCCTCACAGCGAGGTATCGAATATGGTGAGGACGACTTCGAAAAACGTAGCTCTGACCAGGCAACAAAGTCATGGTAGTGACGGTCATGCCATGTATGGTGACAAAGGGTGAGTATTACTCACAGGCCTTAACAGCAGCTTCAGCAGGACTACTCTGGTTAACATCTTGGCGGCTCCCTGAAAGCAAATAACGGTTCATAAGATAGCCCAGACTCAGTGAACGACATCAATAAAGATCACTTTTATTATGTCTTAATTTAAAAAGTCCACAACGCCAATACACATGTTATGCAGCGCCCCCCTTCTACACAAATATGAGCCCTTAAACACACGCCTCAAGCTATGTATGAATACCATGACCGCCAGCAGTCAATCCCACAATCTTCTCTGCCTCCTCTCTACACACAATCTACTGTCATGGACACGCCACGTCCTGCAACATCTCACATCTCACTAACACAGCTTCCTCGGTACACACGTACGTACACACACCACACACAATAGCAACTACCCGGTCTCCTACTTCCGCCATCCAGGCTTCCACACCGGCCGATTCCAAAACTTGCAGTTCTGTTTTGTGCATTTCCGGGTTTTGACCTTTCTGCCAAGTTTTGGTTTGTACTTGAATTCATGGCCGCAGGCGGAGTTGGTGGGTGGGTTCGGGTTGCGGATGCTATTGCTGCTGTTGCTCTCATTGCTGTTGCTTCCGTTGTCCTCGTTGCTGTCGTCGGCATTAGTGTCGCTGGGTTCTCTGGATTCGGACATCTATTGCGGCCAGAGGGTTAGTTCTGCGCTCAAATGATGCATTAAGGTATAGTGGAGGGCCACAACGGGAGACGGGACGAATGTGGTCGCGGAGTGAGAACTTACTTTGAAGAGATTTACTCAGGCTTGTTATTCCGGTTTCTATCGTGTTACTCCGAGATTGGTTGAGGCCTTGTAGCCCTTGGTCTGTTTGTGAGCTAGACGGGAGTTGTAGTGTTGGTTTGGTGGGAGAGAAGCAACGAGAGCAACTGTCGATGCAGCATACTTGTACTCAGCTGGCCTTGAAGACCATGGTTGTACCGGGAAGATAGCGAACATCTATGAAACAAGAATGTCGCTTGTCTCGGTATAGAGTCAGAAACGCTTTGTCTGAAGCACTGGGTGTCCACTAGGAATATCTCTGCGCAATCATACGTTTCACTACCAGCTTCGCGTCGCAATTGCACTTAAACATGGCAGTATCATGAGCAATATGGGTCCCAGCCTTCAGGCGAGATGTTGTATGGAAGCGAGATCTCTTTGTTCATTCTAAGACCGGGCTGGAAAAAACGTTGACTGGTGTTCGGATCAAGCTGCTGGTGGTGGCACCCATTGTCGCCCAGTCTCAATGTGCGTCTTTTCCGCAGACGTAAAGCCGTGTTTGAGCATCTGCAATGCCCACGGATATTGTTCTTCAACAGAAAACAGGTGTTCAAGCTAGAATCAGGTTAACACTGATAAAATGGATTGTGTCAATGCTCGATATGAGCTGTAGACATGGATACGAATAGCGTAGATGGTGTGGCCACGGACTCGGCGTGAGGACGACCCTTTTCATGATTATTTTCGTGCAGGATCTCGACTGGCAGGTTGAGCTACTTGGAGCAATTGATGACGCCTTTGTTTTCGTGAGCAAGAACTGAAGCGTGTTAGACAGCATTTCACTTCGTTTCATCAGTAGTGGAATGACCCTGATCTGTTGAGACTGGAAGATGCGCCACTTGACAGAACAGCCCGCTTGGATGTTTTGCATTTCTGTTTTGAAATCGTGATGAATTAATAATGTTCTCGATAGAGGTCCAAAAGTCAGAGCGTCGAACGAACCGGCATCCTTCAGGCAGTCATATCGCAACATACATAGAAATGCCGTTTTGGACACCCCGGTGCACTCCTTGGTCATCCTAGGTAATGTCTTCATAGTAATCATCTACCTGAATAACCTCTGACCAACACCTCCATCTCCTACCCTCCAAGCCATGGCACCTGGGATACCAAGAAGTGGGTGGCTCATACCATCAAAGCCAAAACCTCCGCCCTCTCCGTCAGCTTTGTACCTTCGTAGAGCTTCTCGAAGATGATCTGGTAACAAGCCACCGTGGTGCTTGTTTGGGATGTATCGATCCGCATCTGCTTTCAGCTTCAGAAGTTCTTTTTGCAAGCCTGGCAGGACCTCGTTTCGCAATTTCGTAATCTCCTGTCGAAGCGTTGTGAGGACCTGGAATATCGTCTTGCGCTCGGCGTCTAATGTTGCCGACGTCGGGGCTGGCGATTGAGCCTGCTCAGTGCCGTCAGCAGTCGAGGGCTGCGGTGTAGCATCCGTGCTTGCAGCAACTTCCCGCATCTGCTTTTCCTTCTCCTGCGACTCCGTCTGCTTCTCCTCCAGCTCCTTCTGCTTCTCGTCGACCTGTCTCTGCTTATCCTCAAGCTCCTGCTCCTTGTCCCTCGCCCTCTGCTTCCTCGCCTTCCGCTCTTTCTCAACTTCAACGTCTTTCACCTCGGCCCACTCAGTCTGCACCTCTCTCGCCCTCTCAATGACTTCAATGGCAAAGGCCTTCGAAAAAAACTGCACCGCATCAATTTGACTCTTCCCTACGCTTTGGCTCACAGTCTGGTTTACGATGCGCCTGATGACACTCGTCTTCAAAGTACTGCTTCTGTAGTTCTGATAGCGGTTCATCTGCTCTTCATTCAGCTGTCCTAAAAACGTGTTGATCCGATCGGCTTCCCCTTGTAGTGTATCCTTCTCGTTCTCA